GTTAATCAGAAATAAATGTGAAAGTCAATATAGGAATTATTTGTGTTAGATTTTGCAAAAGCTTTTATTTAGCAAGTATATAGTTGACCCAAATTTATTTTAGAGTGCCACTGTTACTAAACTGAAGGCATAAGTTAAATCGTATTAAACCAACTTGATAATAGAGGAAAGTAGATACAAGGCTTTTGCTCCAGCTCCCTGTGATGTTTGTCATAAACAAATGGGGTTATGGATTCAGTGGAAGTCTGTAATGAGGATGTTCCCTGTCCGGAAAGGCAGTCGGCTTTCTTCCATGCTTCACTGTCAAGTCAGAGTAATGTTGAATTGGACTCCTCCAGATACACTGTTTGTAAATATTCTACCATCCATGTCATTGCTGAAACTTAGGGCAAAGACTGTTTCTGTAGAAGGTGCCAAGCTGGGAGGAGCTGCAAGCATCTGAGAGCAGAATTCCGGCTTTTCATAAGTTGGTGAAATAAGATGCTGTTCAATATGGAAGCAACAAAAGCAGAAATATTTCCTATGCTCAGATGGAAATAATCAACTACGCAAATAAAAAATGAGGGATAGTTCAAGACATGATTTTGAGGTTAAAATGCACCTCAGACATGTAAGTATCATCAATTATGAAAAGAGCAGATAGCATACTGGAAAATACAAATTGAACAGGGCCCACAAGGGCTGTGAACTGACCAATCTTCTCTGAAGCTCTACTAGTGCTGAGAAGTTCTGTGAGCAGAGAAATACTGCTGTTATAGTAGTATTGGGTGCCTCACTGTAGACTGCAATTTGAAAAGCACCCCAGGGAGGGCAATTAAAATTATTTGAGTTGTAGGAGGAAAGATTGGAAGTGTTAGATATGTTTTAGAATAAGGGAGGTGAAGGGAAGGACTAAAAGGAGACCGGGTCTGAGTCTTGAGGTATGTTAGCAAGTGTTTGTGCATGATAATGCATGCGAAGGAGGATGATAATGCCCTTGCATTTCAAATCCACCATGGGCAGAACTGGAAATAACACTCTTAAATGGCAGCAAAGGAGCTGTGGATGAAAAAACACTGCTACGTGAAGATAATGTGAAGATATTGCAACCCTGAGGAGAAGGATTTGGGGGTGTCGGTAGACAAAAAACTGTGAGCTGGCAGCGTGCGCTCACAGCACAGAAGGCCAACTGGATCCTGCGCTGTATCAAGAGAAGTGTGACCAGCACGTTGAGAGAGGTGATCCTCCCATCTACTCTGCTCTCGTGAGACCCCACCTGGAGTTCTGCATCCAGGTCTGGGTCCCCGAGTGCAAGAAGAATGTCGAGCTGTTGCAAAGGGTCCAGAAGAGGGCCATGAAGATGATCAGAAGTCTGGAGCACCTCCCCTATGAGGAGAGGCTGAGAGTTGGGGTTGTTCAGCCTGGAGAAGAGAAGGCTTCTGGGGGGACCTTGTAGTGGCCTTCCAGTACCTGAAGGGGGCTACAGGAAAGCTTAGGAGGGACAAGGGCATGTAGGGACAGGATGAGTGGTACTGGACTTAAAGTGGAAGAGGGCAGATTTAGACTAGATATTAGGAAGAAATCTTTTATTGTGAGGGTGGTGAGACACTGGCCCAGGTTGCCCAGAGAAGCTGTGGATGCCCCATCCCTGGAGGTATTCAAGGCCAGGCTGGATGAGGCTTTGGGCAACCTGGTCTAGTGGGAGGTGTCCCTGCCCATCGCAGGGGGTTGGAACTAGATGATCTCTAAGGTCCCTTCCAACCCAAACCATTCTATGATTCTATGATAACAGAGCTGTGGGATGGAGTGTATAGGAGCTGTAAGTTGTGTATCACTGGTGTGTCAGACCAGGTGGGTTTCTGAGAAGAATTTTTGTGTTTGATTGATCCTTCCTGTAGAGGCAGACTATGCAGCTTCTTGAAGGCCTTCCTAGTCTATTCATACTTGTTCCCCTGCTAAGGATGGTGGTGCCATCCCCTGCCTTAGTATAGGTAGGTGTATACTAAGGCAGTAGACTAGCTTCACACAGTCCGTGATGGTTTGCAGTAGTTCCAAATGATCTTAAAACAATTCAGTGGTGGAATGATTTGTAGAAGAAAGTAATGGTCTTTGTTTGTCAAGACAAAATGCCAAGACAAAGTGACACATTTTCTGAGTAGGAAGCAAACTTATGGTTATTGTCTATTCCAACTACTCTATTTTTGCTGCTGAGCAGTAGGAAAGTTAAATGTCGTGATTGACTGTTCTGATAGTAGAAAGTGCCAGAATTAAAATAGGTCATGGTAGGTGCTCACTGTGGTGTTGAATTATATGTTAGTACTTCCCACCAATGGACTTCTGCATTATTCAAGCACATAGATGGATGGTGTTCAAGAGCAAGGCAGTTATTCAATATTTACTTTTAATTTCAAGTGTTCTTGGTCCCAGGCATCATTTATTACACGGTGCAGAATGGCAGAAGTATTGTTTGGGAGAGATATCTAGAGGCTGCCTTCCCTAACTCCTGTGCAAAGCCAGTTCTTGATCAAGTCAGGTGTCGCTTTACTGAATGTTGAAAACCTCCAAGGATGGAGATCCCACCACCCATGCTAACCTGTTTCAGTGGAGCTTTACGTTCCTAGTGAAAAAGGTTTCCCTGATGCCTGTTGTGATGCTCTTCTGTCTTCCTGTGGCATCAGTGGGTCCAGTGTTAGAGCATCTGCTCTGTTCTTAACTGCACTTGCCTTCAAATTTAGCATTTACAATTATGATGCACAAGTAATTTTCATAACAGTTTGAACAGGCCATTCTGTATAGTTGAGCGTGGCCATTGCTGTATTTTTTTTTAGGTTTGGAAATGGAGATCAAAAGTGTTTTACTCAGGAGATGTGATGAAACAGTGAAAGATTTGGGACTAATATTTAAGGATTCATGATTCCCTTGTGGTGAGTTGACCTTAGCTAGCTGCCAGGTGGCCACCAAGCTGCTCTGTCACTCCCCCTCCTCAACAGAGTGAGGATGGACGGACAGAGAAAATATGACAAAAAGCTTGTGGATCAACATAAGGGCAGGGAGACCACTTACCAATTACCATCAGTGGCAAAACAGACTCAACTTGAGGAAATTAATGTATTGCCAATCAGTAACAGAGTAGGATAATAAGAAACAAGAACAAATGTAAAAACACCTTCCCCCCACCCCTCCCTTCTTCCCAGGCTCAGCTTCACTCCCAACTTCTCTACCTCTTCCCTGCAAGCGGCACAGGGGGATGGGGAATGGTGGTTGCAGTCAGTCCGTAATACTTCATCTCTTTCCTCCA